CAGATAGAGCTTCCAACAAGTAGCTCGGAGATGGCCTGGTCGATCACAATAATCACACCAACGAGAACTAGGAGGTACATTCCAGGTGGAAGTACTAACAACAGAGGTCTTAATAGTAGAGGTCTCAAATCCCTCAGTAATAGCCATAACAATAACAATACGTGGGCATCCGTAACAAAAAAAAGCTCTAAGATAAATAGAGGGACAAAATAAGGGAGAAGAATATACCTCCAATCGAACAGTAGCGACAGATAAAGGTCCAGAAAGCTCCCAAATAATCAGATCACGGTGTCCAAAAATTCAATAACTATAAATAATTGATCTATCAACGGAAAAAAGGATCTGCTCCCTCCTAAAAAAGTCCTAAATACTAAAACCTTGCAGCACTGTGACGAAGAGTGCGAAGGACGAAACTACAACAAAAAATGCGACCCGACAATGGGTTGGGCAATGATCCAGCAGTAGGCTAGCACTTGGGCTGCCGATTTTGAGTTGGGCTTGTATGTTAAGGATTGGTGATTGGTTTTGCTGGGCAGTGGGTTATGGGTAACATGGTTTACAACTAAGCTTCGGGGGTTTGAACAAGACTTAATTTCATTGATTTGGTAATCAATTCTCCATTTGTTTATGCAGTAGTTTCGATCATGCCCTGCAAACTCCTTTCCAAGGTTGGGTAATGGCCATTGTCATGGCACCGAGGCTATAATTAAAAGACAGCCTTCAAGGAACATAAATGTACAGAACTTCTGGTCGTATGTTTTTGGGTTGGGCTGGTATGATTCTCGTTGGGCAGTGGGTGGAGTTTGCTAGAAGTCGGTGGGTGGTTTGCTAGCAGTCGGTGGAGCTGCTTGCTGGGTTCTGTTTGGGTGGATGCTCGCTGGGCAGTTTGCTTGCTGCTTGCTCTTTGAGGAGTTGTGGCTGCTAATTATGGTGAAGTCTATGGTGGAGGTTAGGGTTAGGGTTAGGGTTTGAGTTTGGCTCTGATACCAACTTGAAATAATTGTGAGTAAAAAGGGATACTCAAACTAAGAGTAAAGCCCCCTATATATATAGTCAAATAATAATACAAAGTGACCTAAATATTCTTGTGGTCTAGGCAAAAATATAAAGTCATAGTAAGGGTAAAAAAGGGAAACGAAACTCTAATAAACTAGATTATACTCTAACACTTTCTTTTCTTCCGATTTTCAATTTTCATTTTGTTTTGTTGGTGTTTGGTGATGATCATTGGGTAGGCAATGACTACAATGGTGGTTGGGATTTTGGGTCATATGTGATGCACTATTGTTAGAGTTATATACTAAAAACTTACTTTTTATGGTGAAACTCAGTTTATTATTTAATAAAATTTCTTCATTTTTTATTGAGAATCTTTATAGGTAAAATGTTTGTATTATATTAAATATATATTATGAATGTGTGTCTTTTATTTTATATTTTAGATTATAGATAATATGGTATGTAGAGTTTGGCTTAACAGAAGATCAGATTATCAGATCCTAGTATGATATGAGAAAAGGTTCATAGTTTTAGATAAAATTGGACATACTATCTACAGATGTGATTTCCTACAATGGATCGAGATAGCAACCTTTCAAGTGAGCTCGATGTTCGATCCTGAAATTGGGAACAACGTCAAAAAAGGGGTTGAGAGTACACCTGGCTTATCCCCTCTGATGATTAATTTAGTCAAGTCTTAAGTGTGAGAAAGTGTACACAGCAGAGCTATTTTTACTTACATACCTTCGTTTTGTCTTATTAGTGGGATATTTATACCTTTCATTGCAATGTGGTGGCTCCCATTTAACCTCCAATCCTAGGATTCGTAGCATGTGCCCTCTATCTAGAGTAATAAGTGTTATCCCGTCATAACTCATTAATGCCAAGCGATTGGACATCTGGGTTTACACGTTGAGATCTGATTACGCAGTCATTACTGCATTTCTCGAACATCGAGTGCTCTACCCCAATATTCAGTCTAACGCCGACCACTTATGAGTTGGCATAGGGGTCTCAACGGGAACCCCCCGATGGCTCCTCCAGCAAAGGGCTATATTTTTTCCTTTTGATGGTTAGTCTTAAGTTCTCTACAAATTAGATAGCTAATCATGGCTTGTCGCATCAATGCGCTGCTTCAGGCTCATACATTGATGCCATTTAATACTCGGCACGAACCGAGTAAACATTAATTGGCGATCAAGCATTCTATGCTCGGTCTCAACCTAAAGTATCCTATGCTCAGCCTTGGCTACCAAGGACTATCCCACGGGCTCTGACCGCAATGGGTTGCCACGTGTCAGTTCATAGTTGGATGGATGTTATAATCGTAGAACAATCTTCTGACATATAAGAGACTGTTTGATGTCTCGAATTATTGCACTCATACACTTTGTATATTGAACATAACCGTTATTGAGGTTATTATATTTTTATTGACTAAATAAGAAAATAAAAACCTCATGGTTATTATGATTGTTTAATCTCTTAAATCTGAATTATTTAATTAACATATGCATATAATAATTGTTACTTTAATTAAATAAAAAATTAAGATTCATATTTACGTCAACAAATTCGGTGAATTGAGAGATGACATTATTTGTATAGTAGAAATTAATTATTAAAAGAAACTACGTCCTGACATTTAAATGGATTGATGATGTCTTCTTCAAAAATCTCATAAGTTTTGTCCATGTCAAACCCTGTAGGTGGATTTAATTATCCAACATAACAAATAAGTTGAGTAGTAAGATCTCAAGAATAAAAAGAAGTCAATTAAATATAATTGTCAATGGTTTAATTAATTGATGAACATCTGTAATCTTGAATGTGGAGAAATTATTAAGCATATAATAACGAAGAGCTCAAATATAATTTTAAAATAAGGTCCATAAGATCAATAATAAATTTTTAGTAAACCAACTTATTATTTATGGATTGTAAGATGTTTATTCTAAATTGGACATAGGATTCATAAGTCAATTGGATACCCGACCCTTTTTTTCTTAGGGTCTCTAATATAACCTATAAATAAATGCACTCCCTAGTTATCTCAATCATAACATTTACCTTCACATTTAGAAAAAGCAAAGAGAGAAATCATGGGAGAAAACTTGAAAGTTTGCGGCCCACATTGCATTCGAATTTTGGCGTGGAAAGATATACGGTAAAAGATCATTCGAGCCTGATATTCGATTGGTATCTATCTTCATTCGTGCAAATCTACTTGACAAAATTAAATCCTAAGTTCCCCTTGTAGGGTTAACAGACAAATAAATTATTATAATCAATTAAACGCGTCGTCAACGAATGTTAGGATTACTGTTCTAATATGTGGTATTAGAGTCATGTTGATACCGCGCATATATTGAATGCAACAATATATGCGTTCTTATTTTACAACGTAAAACTGTGTTAATCTCTATTTTACAACGTTCTTATCCCGCTATTATAGTCACATTTTTTATTATCGTTTTATTTGATTAGATCTCACTACAGTTTAATCGTAGTTAGTATTATTGCAAACGATTTACACGATGGTTTATTCATGTTGTAATATTGATGGTAGTATGAAAACTCCCTCATGGAGGCATAGGGCCATATATTATTGCTACTATTTTTTTTTTTTTTTGTATTGAATTTTCAGAGGAAGACAATTGTTCAGAAGCAGTTTATCATAGCAAAAATTGATTTCACGCAGAAAAAATTATTTCAGAAATCCCAGTGTAGTGCAACATGTAGGTAACTAAGTTTATCAAAGATTGTTACAGACTCCTTATTGCATTGAAACTGAAAACATGACTATAATAGTTGACTCTTTGTTTAAGCAGTTTTCTAATAATTGGGACTCTTCGTATAAGCAATCTTCTAATAAATTTTTGTAATTAATTAAACGCAACGTCTACGGTTCTTGGGACTGCCATTCCAAAAGAGTGAGAATGAATGAATATGTGATTGAATGATTTTTTATCTTTTTTAAAATGTTAATTTTTGATTAAATTTACTTGTGGTTTAAATTCTACTTGAAGTGCACTATGGTAGTATGTATTTGGTGAAGCTTTGGTGGTGGAAAAGGTGATGATTGGGGCAGTGGCATGGATAATAAAGGTGGAGATGGTGGTAGCTTCTGGTAGTTAGAACAAAAAAAAAAAAAAAAACGTTATGGTTGACTGGTATTTTTTTTTCTTTTATATTTTTCATCTATTTTATCAGTTAGATTAGTCCAATAGAAACGTGAAGGGGCCAAATTTATTAACTTGAAACCATAAGGAGGAGCTAATTGAAACATGACTCAAAATTTGAGGGGGTATTTTATAATTAATCCTAAACTCTATTTCTGTTGAAGGAATAAATATTTAAATTTATGCCCACTCAAAACATCTCTAAAACATTTTCATTTTTTAAAAATATAAAATTAATTAATTAGAGAGTTCAGTCATAAATATTAAAGAAATTTTATCATATTAATTCATAAAATCTCAAAAGCAACTGTGGAATATCAGCGGAATCCGCATCCACTATCCAAAACGTAAAGGTCAAAAACCACAATAAAAAAGGAACACACAAGAGAACCACCATCAAGTCGTTGTTTATTTGAAAAGTAACGAATAAAACTAGAAGAATAAAGTTGGTAAGTGGAGGATAAAAGGGAAAAAACGTGGGACCACTACAACTGCAATTGTTGCAACTTGAAAAAGACAAATTTTTGTTTTTTGAACAGAAGAAGAAAAAAAGATGCCTAGAAGCACACACTACTATGTATGTCATGTCAATTTTCCATAATAAACCTCACTCTTGTAACACATAATGCTGCTCACTAAGATTAGGATGCTCTCAGTACTCATGATTTAGATCTTCCCGCAATACTCTCATACGAATTCTCTAAAACCCTATAAAATGTTTTTGTGTTTTGAAATAAGGTCTCGCTTATGTTCACTTATGCTACTCTCGAGAGTTCAACTAAGACAAAACAACTGAAAGAAAGTGGAAGAGAAAAGAACTCACATGTTCAGATTTCCGGCAATCCTCCGCTCTGCTTCTCTGACGCATTCGAGAACAACTGGTTTTCCATTGTCGTCACGATAAGCACCCTTCACAAAACACCCAAAAACCCACTTTACCAACTGAAAACACAAACAAATCAGAATCGGCGATTCACCGCTTGGCTGCTAAGAAACTCCAGGAAAGCAACAGAAATTCCCCATTAAACGTCATTACTGAGCCCAAAGTTCCACTCTTTTTCTTCTCTTTTGGCCGATCAACCCAAATTATTGATTCGTTGTTTGATTTGTTGTTTGGTTGCCGAGAAATTATGGACAAGAAAAGAAATTTCAGTAAGGCACAATTCAGCTTAAATTTTGAAATATTTTATTCCCTTTCCTCTGCTTCTTCAGCAGCCAAAGACTTACATTGATAACTGACATACTGAAGCCAAATAAGTTTATCGCTCTTTGCTTGCCAGGAAAGAACCAAAAGATGAAATTCGGGAAAAAAATGTAAATTGAGCTGAGCTATCCCTATTATTGTTGACTGTGTTCTCGGAAGCCAAACCCAAGGATCAGAAATAAATGAAAATGAATTGCGGATTGGCAGACACTTACGACTCCTACATTGACTTTGTCGGGACTAGGATCTGCCAGAAAAGCTTCGGTGACGCCTAGAATTGGGTCTTTCGCAGCGGGCTCCACGTTTCTCCACCACGACGTCTTGGATCGCGCTCCAACTGCCGAGCTCGACATCAGGACTCTCCTCGAAATCGCTGTCCGAAACGCCATAGATGAAGACGGTGTGCGTCTGTGTGAGAGAGAGAGAGAGAGAGAGAGAGAGAGGGGGGGGGGGAGGGGAACGAGAGAATGGGACTAGGATCGAAGCTTGTCTCGGAAACCGCGGTGTTGCTGTGAAAAACAGATGACGTTTGTTTTGTGTACTTGGACGTTCTGAAGGCGAATTTACGGATATAACATGAGTCAGTGTCCGAGAGACAAGATGGTAGAAGGGGAATGGTGGCACTATATTTGGAATTTCGTTGGATGGGATGAGGTCAATCGTCAGCGTAACGCTTCATTAAGGGGATAAAGCGGAAAATGTAATGTTTACAAAAAAAAATTTTACCAAATCTTTTTTATTAAATAATGTCGTACAACTTTTGTCATTCAATATTAATAAAATGTGTTTATTTAATAATAAAAAATTATACCACATTATATAAAATAGATATTTAGTAAACATAATATTACCCTATTAATGAGAGAGATTGACTATCAAGTATTTACTCGGGTAACACTAGATATGACAACGCTTGGATCTAGAGGTTGGCTTGGCAGCGATCGGGTGGAGGGTTTTATTTTTTATTTTGCATATTGTTTGTGCTTTTTTTTTTCTCAAATTCTGGAAATAGATAAATAATAACAAATTTACTTATTTATATCTATCTATTTATTTATTTTATATCTATCTATATTTATATTTATACTACTTATAAATATTAGTATATGTAAAAACAATTTAATTTTATATTTTATCCTAATTATTATATAAATTCAATTATATCCACATATATACTTTTATCTAATTTTTATTGTTTACACATATTTGACTTTTAATTTATTTTAAAAATATTTTATAAATATATCTAAATTTTTTTGAACTTATTTATTAATAGTACAATTACATACAATTATCTATATCTATATGAAGAAGTAAATACATATATGTTAAATTACTAGTCATTGCTCATACTTGCAGGCACTATACAACAAATAAAAAAAATTTAGACAATTGCCCAAATTCAAAAGAAAAGGCCTAAAAATATTTATATCAATTCTTCTTTTAAAATGACTCGAAATATATCGTCGATCATATCCTATATGTTAATGGAATTGTCATAAAAATATAAAAAAACTTTCTAAAACAACATCATATATACAAATGTCTCTGAAAAAAAATACTAACATAATTCATTGAAATTTACGATCTTTAAACAATAAATAAAATATTACTCATTTATAAGACTTATGAATTTATCACATCTATTACCACTCAATTTAATAATATAACATAATTATAAACTCAACCACCATATTTTCAATGTTCATTATCCCAATATAATAAATACATTAAGGCAAAAAAAAATATACTATCATAACACAATTAAATTCACAAATTTTAATTAATCAAATCTTGCTCATTTATTAAATTCGTGAATTTATCACCACTATCACCATTCAACTCCAAATGACACAATATAATTATGAATTTTGTCACTAAATGTTCAATCCTCCACATATAAATATACACAAAAATACATTCACACACATTTCTTTTTCGGTTATCAAAAAACCCTCCTAACCAATAAATACTTTTATTAGAAATAAAATAATTCAAGTTTTTAAAATAAATTAATATTTAATTAAAAATAAGGTAAAAATCATGGACATCCCCTGAGTTTTGGCAATAGTAGACGGACACCTCTTGACATTTTATAGATTATATGGAGACCCCCTGATATTTGAATTCATTGCACGAAGACCCCCTTTATCTTTCTTCCGTCAATGTTTCTAATGGAAATCGATAATTTTATCACAAAAAAAATTATTATCTTTAAAATTACATTTCTCCAAATTTAGTATCAAAAAAATTAAAAATTTAATAAAATCAAATAAAATTTGATTTAATACCTAAAAATTTGATATAATTTAGTACTCCAAAAAATTGATTAAATGAACTTAAAAATTAATTTAATATTAATTCAAAAAAATTGAATATAAATTGGATAAAATTAAATTTCAATTTTTAATAAAATTATATATTAATCTATAATCTAAGGTTCATTTCGTGTTAAATAGTATTTAATGTTTATAGTCAATGTGTTATTTTTTATTTATATTAAGTGTTATTTATAAATTAAAAAGAAAGTGACAAAATACATGTCGTCAAATATATAGAAACTTTAAATTAGTTTCATGAATTAAATAATTGTATAATATATAGTTTCATATATTTTATGGAGTATAAATAATAACAAAAATAACACAGGAGAAACAAAAAGAAAAAGATAATGATATGAGAGAGATAGAGATAGAGAGTTATATGAGAGATGAAAGTCTTATAGTTGTAAAAGAAATGAAAGTTCAATTAGGACCATTAGATCAAAATCGATCTAAGTCGCGAAAGGTTCAAGACAAACAATCTAACTATTTTATTATATAGATTATACATATGTTATGTCTAATTATTATGATAAAGTCAACTACACTCGCCTATATACTTTTATCTAATTTTTGTTTTTTACACCTATTTGATTTTCAATTTTTTTTGAATTTTTATTAGGACTTCTAAATTCTTTTGAATTCATTCATTACTAGTACAGTTACATAAAATTATTTATATCAATATAAAAAAGTAAAATCCTATATATGTTAATTATTATATACATATAGTTATCATGTTGAATTCCACACTAAAATATATGTTATATTATATTTTCAATGTACAATAATATAATAATATTATAAACGATCTAATCAATCTATGTGAAAAAAAAAATTCTATAATATAATTAAATGTGTAAATACTTAAAGGGATCGAAGAGATACCTAAATAAATAACATATTATTTACTCAAAAACTTATAAAATAAATTAATAATTAAATTTAATAATAAGTAAAATACGAATTAATCTAATTTATTACTTAATTTAATTGCACATATAATATAATTTTTTTAAAAAATATTATTTAAATTTACTTAGTGCAATGCACGTCGTGCATTACTAGTTACTAATAAAAGACAACTAAATGAAAAAATTTTGAATTTTAATTTTTCCCTTCCTTAATCTTCTAAAGCCAATTACATCCTCTGTGCCCCTTCACCTTCTGAATGCCTTTACACCTCCTCTTGACGTTACTAATTATGGAAACATCGACGTTACTAATTTACACCTCGTCTGTGCCCTTAATGTCTTTACACCAGCTCTCTTTTGTCCATGTTTTGTATTTCCCTCTTGTTATTATAACAAAACCGACGGTAGTGAGCTCCAGCACAAGAGATTTTGAAAGCATAAAACCTATTAATTATTTGTTGCTTAGAAATTACGGTAAATTCTTCTATGAGGTGCACTTTGCATTTTTTTATAATATATTATGTGGACCTTTCTCTGTTTCTTATTTAAGTAGTTGATGTCCACGTACTTCCCAGGTGAACCATTTTAAAAACAAACTATTTTATGTTAAAACTATGAACTATTCTGCAATTAATAATCAACAATGTATCTCATATCATTATCAAACCAACTTATGTGAGTCCATTTCACTTCCAAAAGAATGGGTTTTGATGATGCACAAAACTGTCTTTGTGCAAGATCAACAGTCAAGTATGTGTAAGGGTGTGATTAATGAGCAATTAATGAACAATCAACGACAATCAATGGATAAAAACAGTAAATAAGCAACAAACACAAAGATTTATAGTGGTTCGATCTGGGTGACCTACGTCTACTCTCGGGAATGGCAGTGGCGGCCTGTGTTCTTTATTAATGTTGATGAATGATAGTACTTTGGAGAAATAAAGTGTTTTTAGGGAGACAGAGAGAAAACAATGAGTGTAAGCTTCGGAGGCGTTGGAGGCGTGCCTTCAATGTTGAGAGGGCTTACATTATATAGCTAGAGTAAGGTAATGGAGGCGGTGACGTGAGGGAAAAAAATTCCATAGTTTTGGCAAGTATTGTTATGGTGAGATCTTCTATGTCAATCTCCATATTATCTTCCCTCGTGCTTCTATTCATCCGAAGGAGAACGTTAGTTGGATTGAGCTTGACCTGGACCTGGACCTGTCTTGGCTTGGACCTGGAGTTCTAAAGTGAAGAGGAGCGAAGAGGGAGGCGCCCAAGGGGCCAGCCTAGGCGACGCCCAATTGCTAAGTCTCTTGGGCGTTGGCCTTGAGGCTTTGGTTGTTGACTTCTTGATGTCTTCTTTTTCAATGGGTCGATCCAGTTTAGAGTTAGACTTTTCTTCAAGTTTTCTCGGATTGTTTTCATTGGGCTTAGCTCAGTCAAATTCGTGCTCGTCATTTGTCCCCATGCCCCAAGCCTCTGATTTTCATAGAGAGGAAGGGATTGAGGGCATGTGTTTCGTCTTTCTCTGAGTGAGCAGGAATTTTTTTTTTCGTCTTCGGGACTCCCATGATAGGTATCGAACAAATTTTTTTTTTTTTTTGGCTGATTAGGCGCAGCCCACTTTATTTGACTTTTCCTCCCCTTTTTTTTTTTTTTGATGGGCTGACTGGGCGCCGCCTATTTTGTTTGACTTTTCAACTTTTTTTTTTTGGTTTTCCTGACTCCTTTTTTTTTCTTTCTTAGTCTACTGTTGGGCGCCGCCCCTCCCTCTCTCTCCTTTTTCTTTATTTTTTTTTGGCTTGGTTTGGCCTGAGCGTCACTTCTTTTCCTTCTTTTTTTTTCTTTGGCTTCTTGGGCTTTGGTTTGGGCACTGCCCATCTCTTCTTTTCCTTTTTTTTTTTTTTTTTTTTTTTGTGATGGATCCTTGATGCAAAGTGAGGAGGGATTTTGGCGAGGAGTCCATGGGTGTGGGCGACGCCCTGTCATATGCTGGCAATTTGGGTCTTGCACTAGGTGTTCGTGAAGGTGAGATGGGAGACTGGGCGAGATGGGAGGACTCATCCCCATGGGTGCCAGCGCTTTGTTGGGCGGCTCCTTCTTTGCTGTGGACCCCGGTATGACATCAAATGTAGGGGGAGACTTGGTGGGTGACGCCAGCTTGAT